ACAGCCAGCAGCGCTCAGCCCATCACATCCTCAACACTCTAGAAAGAGGAGAACAGACCCTCAGGACATCTTGGGATCTGCAGTGGTGACTTCTTTTAGTTTTCCTCCTTTTCTTCTTCCTCTCTCACTCATCCATCTTTTAGTAAATAAAAGCATGTCCTTGCTTCATCAACACATTTGCCGTATTCCGAGATTTCATTTGGAGGGACCGGGGTCAATATAACAAACCACAAGCCTCTTTGGCTTGCAACAGTATGCAATGGCACCTGGCTCAACATGCATATATTTCTGCTAATGCAAGATCATATTTTGACCCCACTTTTTAAATATTCAAGCCGACTTTAGCATATTGTGATGCTAGAAAAGTACAGAAAGAATGATCGTGTTTAATCTTTTAAAGTCACAGGAGACATACACAGACCAAAATACAACAGATGCAAATAACACAGGCAGTTTTAACTTTGAGAGCAAGAGCTGTATTCTCCAAGATGAGAAAACAGATCCTCAGCTCTACAGCAGCTGTGAACAGTGTGGAAAGCAGAGGTCCTACTTTCTCTCCTGTTTTACCAAAATACAATGAAGTCAACTACATATGATTTCAAATCCTGGATATTCTGAAATACACAGACAAGGCTACATGCAAAGTGAATATATTTTAGAAATAAGCATTCTAGATTTGAAATTGAGTAAATGTTAATATGACAGTCTTAAACTTCTTTTTCAAACTATCAAATTTTGTACCTTATTATGTCAGTTATAGAATACCAGCTACAAACAAAATTAAGGAAAATATCTTGAGACTCCAAAAAATGAATGTAGCTGCAAATTGGCTTAAAGTTATAACTATCGAGTCACCTGAAAATACGTTTGATTACAGCCCTTGTCAGTTACACATATCACACAAGACATTGCACTCTATTAAACTGTATTGAAGACTGCAGCAACCATTTCTGCAAGATAGTTGCCAACCAGATTTCAAGATTTCTTTGTAAGGATTACTAGCAAACAAAAATTCAAATTGCTAATAATAAAAGAATATAAATTTACAGATACATTCATTTAACACTTTCTCCTGCAACTGGCTGCATACAAATCCCAGAGTCAACAAGCCTAGCTGCCAAATCAGACCCGCACTGTTTTGCTCACATTTCCAGATCTGCTAAAAGCAATAGGTTATATATGCAAGTAGCTCTATGTATTTAATTGAAAGTTCAAAAGATTTGAGCTAGAGGTGAGTAAAATGAGTTTGAATGCCTTATCTCAGGCACCCATAGTATCCATAAATGATAACTATTATCGTATATAATAAAATAGTGCTAACACTTAAGATGAACATCCAGAGCAAGCTTATAAACCATTCAACAATTAATGCCCTTGTCTCATGTTTTCAATTTTTCAATTTTCAATAACTACTGAAGGTCACATGTTATGATGTCAGCTCAAATCTGGATTTCCAATTTCAGAAAGTTTAATTTTAAGTTACAATACTAAGACATATAATTAAAAACTGCTTTTATAAAGTCTCTTAGTTCTATAACAGGGTAAGATTATTCACTCTGCTACTAAAGTAGATTTCACATTTGAGTGCCACTTATTCAGCAAGCACACATCACTTGGATATATCTTCCAGCACATCAAACATGCCGTAATTGAAACATGCAAAAATAAGATTTATCAACACCGACATGCAACACAACACGCCAACATTTAGTACAGGGGTTTGTAGTCTGGGCCAACAGGAAATTAATTAACTCCCCAGAGCGCAATGCAAATTGAATCTGCCAAAAGGATTGAAGGAAGAACAGGAGAACAGGAGTCTCCAAAAGAATTCTGAGCTGGAGGGAAATTATGGGAATATGATCCTTCAGAACTGATATGATGGAGATATTTCATGGGGTCTGGTGCTCAAGCATCATTCACTCTTTTATTCTCAGCAGACCAGAAGACTTCTCCCAATATACAAGTAGCATTTTTGAAAGACAGCAGAGTGGAGCTGACAGGTTGCCACCAAAGGTACTGCCCTTCTCCCCTCCCCTAGTTCTCCCCCTACAGTCCTGTCCTCACCCTCTCATTTCCCTTGGAATACCACTTTTTTTTTTTTTCCCCCCACAACCCTGCCTGTGACACCAGCTTACAAAGCTCGTTCACATGGCAGCTACCTCCTCCTCCTTCCTCCACAACCTCCCTGGTCTTTCTTACCCAAAGCAAATAGAATTCAGGTGCTTTTTCTCCATTAAGATAACTCTCTGTGGAACTACTAAAAGCCAGCTCAAGAATCGGGGTGGTTTCAAGCCCAGGTTATGGAGCAACATTTTTCTGAACATTGCCAAGGTGATTCCACAATACTGGCTGCTTGCAGGGCTGGGGTTGGATATTCAGTTCTGTTGATGACTCATAAGGAATAAAAGGAACCAGGCACACCTTATCTCAGCTGTATTGGTTCCATGTGAAATATTAGCAGAAAAATCATTCCAGCTGTTGAAGTTATTAGGTTTAACATTATCATTAATAGTTGTTATTATATAATTTATTCTCTCCATGAAAGAAATACCTGTGGAATACCATGATTAAACTTAAATCCTTCTCAAAGCAAAATCAAGCTCAAATGGGTTTCTCAGATGTACAATGCATGAAAGACCAGACCTATTATTACTGTAAAAGTCGATAATAAATGACAGGAAAAAGAAACAAGACTTAGTGCAGTATATTTATACACAGCCTTTGAAGTTCAACAGTTCCTATATTTGCAAAGCAATGACAGACAACAGCCATACAACACAGAGTTACTTCAACCTTTACAACAGAAGTGAGTTAAAAATGTAAACGGTCACTAAAATTCGTTTGGTTTCAGTTGTGAGCGGTAAATTGTTAAAATGCTATTGTCAAATACTGGACAGTCTTCTACAGCATTTTGAAATAATTTCAAGATTATTGTATCATCTGCAAGTTTAATGCAAAAAATAACTAAAAGGAACATTACAAAGAATTACACAGAACAAGTACGGACCTATTCACAGTTCTTTCTGTGCTCAACTTACTAGTGTATTTTCTTTCTAAAATGACTGAAGTGACCTAACTTATAATGCAAGATGTCAAAAATAACTCCTCATTCCGAGAAACATTTTAAACATAGAATAACTCTATGACCTTCAGAAGACCCTCATTGTGAAGCAGTAAAGACATCTACATCTACAAAGATGTACAATCAAATGCAATGTCGATGTTCATGCAATTAAATTGGTAATATTACTTGCGTATTCTTTATTTCAAGCAGACAAGCAGACAAACAAGAATAATGAAGAAGCAGGGCCAGCATTTGTTATCTTACAGCTACACAGTGTAAACAAATCAGTAACCTTTAAAGGATTCAAAATGAGCTGCATTTTAAAAAGTTTATTGTAAAATGCAGTATTTCTAAAATTTAGTTTCAAACCTACTTGAATACCTAACAAGAAAAAATAATCATTTTCCATAGCCAAGGCAAGACAAAGATTTAGGAAACAACAGAAAAGCAATGGATTACTTTTAATGGTCTTAAAAATTTTGTAGAACTGATTTCTATAAAAATGAATATTAAAATTGAAAAGTTTGTCCTTAATTTCTATAACTTGTAAGCTTTGGAAGATAACAGATAGCTTCTAGTGTTCTGAATACCTCCATGAACTAACTGGCACCTCAGTGGTAACACATCCATGTTTATAAGAAAAGGCTTCAATTTTATTTCGAACTTAACAGGCATTCATTCTTCTCCTTTCAAAACCTAGGCACAAGTAACAAAGCACCAGAGCCTTATAAATTCCCCAACACCAAATGCAAATTAAGTCATGAAATTGCTCTAGGATATGTTCCAAGAATGCAAGCCCAAAGGAGTTTCAATGCAGTTTTTCTATTTCAGGCTCTTTATGATACTTCAGCAAGGTAACAGAATATTAACGGTCAAGAAGAGTTATCTATGTATGGAAAGATTTAATTATCCAATTTCAAAAACTTTCTGTATTGTGTTTACAAGCTTTAAGATGAGAAATATGTTTATAAGCAGTATAAACTGAAAAGATGGCAAAGGTTCTGCAGATCAAGCAGCTCAGAAAGTTTTAATTCCCTTGGAATGCTGCACTGAAAGTTTTAAACACTAACTTCATATGTTTTGCAAATGGCTATCGTATTAGTGGATTTTTCTCTTACTCATAAATAAATGAGCTGCTCACTCGCATTGTACTAGTCTGTATTAGAAGTAAAAATATGCACAATTCCCCCCACTTTATGTGAGAAATGTGAGAAAGTATAAAGACTTACGTTTTATGTCAGCTGTAGATATGCGCCTTTACATGGCCATCTCCAGCAAATTGGGACTGTTCCCATAACGAAAAAAATATTTAATCTTTCAACAGTTGTCTTGAAAATGCCTGAATTCTTATGCACAAAGCAGGCATTTTAACAGATTGTATAAACAAAGAGCTGCTGATTTTTCGCTCTGCAGAGCTACTGCTTGTTTATCCCAGGGGAGAGATCAGTCAAACAAGGACAACTTCAGTTACTGGACTTACTATTATTTAGCAACAATCCCTAGGGGACTAAGAACAGTTCCTGAACACGAAGTTTGAGTCCACCAAAGCTCCCCAAAACATAAGAGAGAGACTACAACAAGCAATCTGCACCAGTCATTTTGCTAAAACCTGGTATCAGAGAGCTACCCATGACTCACCTTCTCAACCCACTCTCATTTTTCTGTCTGAAGACAGCTCTTTACCATTCCTTCCTCAAAAGATATGCTAGGTACAAAGCATTCAAACTAGTAAAACCATCCAAAAGTGTATATCTGTGTCTTTTTCAAGTAGTCTGTTTTCTATAGCTTGCACCACTTTCAACGCATCTCAAGTGACTTTTCTTCAGCTTTTCGAAGTGTAGATCACAAACAGTAACTACTCTCTGTGTTCAGTTAATGCTGGCAATATTTTTCTTTCTTAAGTCCACATTTGTTTAAAAATGAGTTCTGTCCTTACCTGAAGATCTCAATTTTCAAGAAATCTTTGTCTTGTAGTCTAAGTAAAACGGGTGTAACCTATAATAGAACAGAAGGATATATCAATTACATCAACTTTTAACATGAGCGTTGTAATTCAATCACATATGAGAAAACTGACAGCTAATTTTTTTGTTACTATGCTGTGGCATGACTTTTACATGTGAGTTATGCCAAGTAGCAATTCTTCGGCAAGAATTGTACAATATTGAATTGTACTGACTCACTAGTAAGAAGTACCTCTTTCCTTCTCTAGCATTTCTGTTCAAACACAAAGATGTAAGCTTTGATCTACCTCTACATATTACTCCTAATGACTGTGTTGTGGTTAGATTAAACAATTAAGATCCCGCTAGCATCCTATTTCTTGTTACTAAACAACCCAATCAATTGAATTAGGCACTTGGGGAAGAGGTACATGATTGGGCCCAGATGCGCTCAAATCCCATCTAACAAACCCATCAGTAAAAACAAGCAAAAACGTTTGCTTAAAGTATAGATCTAATTTCATCCTAGAGAATAATCAGTAAAACCTAATTATTAATTAGCATCCTGAAATGTAGCTAAACAAAACACTATTGGCAGCAGTTTCTATCCACTAGTTTCTCCCTATCTAAAAATGTGCAGAGACACAGCAAAGATATTCAAGTCAAAACACCATACATATTTGTATGCTGTATCTCCCAGATAAAGCACAAGTTACAAATTCAGTCTCTTACACATCTGAAAATACCACTAGATATCAACGGCAATTATATCTACTGCTCCTTAATCTGTATTTGGGGCCAGTCTTGTGTAAAACTTCACAGTTATCAGCCACTGAAGACTCTTTGCGGACTTGATTTTCTAGAGAGATTCACTTATTGCCAGCCCAAAAAGAGCTGTTAAAAGATACTGAACATTTGCAGACCTCAAACTTCATTCCTTTATTTTTCTTTCAAGATAGCTACACAGCAACAGCACCAGTTGTCTCTAAACACACTTTAACCAACACAGCAAATTTACACACAGCCTCCTTAAACTGCACAGCACTGAGCTGACCATTGGCAGTAAAAACATTTCATGCTCGGATATCTCCAGGAACCAGTGTCCAGTCTTTGTTTTCAGAGACAGTTCTGCAAGCAGGATACACAAGCAGAAGACTCAAATTACACTTCATTGACCAAGAAAAAGGAGATGGTGTTCAATTTCAGTTCCATAACCTCCATGCTGACCTGCATGTTTGTTGGCCTAAACAAAGAGATTTCAGGAAATGAAGGATTTGCACTTTGTCCAAGTTTTGTTTTCAGATAGAGGATCTCTGCCCCAGAGGTATGTGCTGGTTTGAAAGGAACTGAGAGGACAGCCACTCAACACTGGTCCACATTCCTGTTCGTTCTGCTTATCCAAGTTTTGTTTCTGCTTTGTACTCAATATGACCAAAGCAAACAAGCAAACAAGCAAACAAAAAAACCTAGAAATGGGAGGTGGCCTCAAATTCGAGTTCCTTTGTTTATTTATTTCTTATTCCTATATTTTTTGCTTCCTCTGGTGAAACTGTATGGAAGATTACCAAGAAATTTGCACAGTAATTATTTTCACATATTCAGAAGATTATATACACTCAGGCAATCCAAACACAAAATCTGATCATATGAAATAAAAACATATCCTATCTGGAAATTTAAAAAAGTAATGGATGATTATGTTAATAAGATTCTCAGCAATGGAGTGCTATAATATAAAAGTAGGGTACAAAAAAGTTGCCCCCGAGAAAAACAAGTACTTCTTCAGTATCCCCTACAAACTAAAACATTTATTTGATTACTTTTTATTGAACCACCTTATAGATAAAGGTTGCTCACACACAAGAATTTCAATTTGGACTCAAGAAAAGATTTTCCTTTCAGCAGGCCACAAAAACATTTCTTCAAATGGCATATCTTAACATCTTGCTCCACATAAAAACATATACAGTGTTAATAAACTACACAATTTTTTGAGAAACAAACATTCACTTTTCTAATGCAAGTAGGAAACACTATCTCATTGTATTCATATATGGGAAATTGAAGACTAAAGTTTCAGTTATTTGCCTAAAACCATATAAGAAGGAAGCATAATCTGATGCCTACTTCAGTTCTAAAATCTGCTGCACTGCCTCTGTATTATCTTACCTTCCTTTAAAAGGCTGCATAATTCTAATATCCTATTGTGCTGCAGCCTTGCCTTACACCTCCTGGTCACATTTTATTATTTATTTTAGCTAACTAATATGTTTGAATCTTCATCTGCATTCATATGGTACCTTCAGTTCCATAAGAAAATCTCATACTTCATGACTTTAGGTTAGGGACACCTATTGTAACTGAGCAAAGGCTAAGAGACTTTTTTCTCTTAGGGTATAATTTTCACAGTTATTTCCCTACATTTCAAAATTAAAGAGAGCCAAAAATTCATCATTAAATTAGTATGTTTGTCTGTCCCAAATGCAGAGGTAACAAGTGCTAATTCCAGATGCTGACAGTGCTCAGTTCTGAATATCCTGTTCACTGTCCAAAGAGTAGAGATGCCCTATTGTATACTTATTATAGAGTCCTAACTGTACACCATCAGTAGCAGAGGTACTGATCAGAGAAAGTTCATTTTCGGAAGTTGGAATGTTAGAGCAAAAAAACATAGCCTTTTTTCATAATTCACAGTACAAGAAAAATAGTAGGAAAATGAAAGGTAGAAACTCATTTAAGATATGGTTTCCTTTACAGTTCTTTCAAAACTAGAAAAACAAAATATAAAGTTTCACCTTCTTATCTTGAATATGTAAATGTTTCTGGTCCTGATCTCAGGCTGATACCAGTGCAGTGGCTGCACACAGAGCTGCTGCTGTCCATCTGCTTTATGCTGGTTCGAGATCGCAATCAGATCTGGGTCATCTCACCCTTGAGTTTGTTACCCACATAAATTAAGAGATTACACATAACAGCACTTGTATTAGTTGAAGTCTAGCTTACAGGCATAAAAATATTTCACCTTCTCCCCTTTACTTGCTAATATGGAACCTACTTACATAAGTGAAAGAGGAACAACTTATTTGCTCTCTCCTTTATGCAACAGAAGAACACACTCATGCAGTTTGATTTCCCATGTTCACGGAAAGAGATCAAACATATAGTATAATGTATTAAAACACAGGGATTTTTTCATTCTATTAGCTCATTACAAATATACATAACTAACACTACATTCTGCATAATTACAAGCATTAAAGTAGTCATATGAGCAAACAATTTAATCATAACTTCTGTGGCTTGATTCATTTCAGTTTTCATGAGACGTCTACTTACACTGTCCTGGATGACAAAGATTTTGTGATCAAGCCACTAGCAAAAGCATGAATGCTGTAACATGCAAAGCGTTTGCTTGCCAGCAGCTGCTGTATGATTCCCTGACATTCAGAAGCAGAAGTACAGGGTAAGCAGCGTGTCACTGCCAGGTGGCTGCACTCTCTTCATTCAAATCAAGCAAGCCTTAACAGGAAAAGTAATACAGTAACACCAGCAGCTCAGCATGCAGTGCTGACCTTGAATACATTTCAACAAGATGGTTCAGACTAATTAACATAGCATTAGGAAAAAAAAAATGAAAGCACAGAACCTGACTTATATTGTTCTGAATATATTGTACACACATGCTGCATTACTGAATTCCAAACCAAAATATTATATGCCTACATTAAAAACAACAGAAAGATTGCTCTGCTACATCCAAGCTTGAAAAGCAACCTACATTCACAACACCAAGCAACTGCAAATGTTAGGTTACCTACACAAACACAACTAAATACGCTTCCTATATCCTCCATTGCTTTCAGTTTTCTGGATCACAAGGAATATCTCAAAAAGAAAAGTATGGTTCCACATGTAATGTTTTCCTTTAGTCTACATAATCTGTATTTTCTCTTGCCTCCTTTTATAAGTTAATTACGCTTTAGATTTACAGTATAGAAAATATACAGTTCAGTTGAAGTGAAACATACCAGACTGGTAGAAGACAGAACCATGGAAGGATCTAGTCCCAACCCCTAAATCCTTATTTTTCAGTACTTACCTTCTCAATATCTTAGATGAGGCTTAAATGTGAGCAATAACAACTGCTTCCAAGGCTGATGTTGTACCGGCCACCCAGCTAAATAGAGGACCATTTAAACAGACTTTTTTTTTTTTTGATGTTCACTGAGACAACGAAAGCCACAACACAAAGTCTGGTGCAAGTAGTAAGCTACATTTCTGCTCCCTATGACTGGTTTGTTCAACAAAACACTGCAGTTCTTGGGCCACCTGGTGTGATCTGGTTTATATTCATAATGGGAGCTGCCAGGGTCTCGAAACACATCGCTCACAGGGACAATAAAAGAAATATGCAAGAGACTCTGGTCTGTGGCCAGGTTTCCCAACTCCAGGATTTACTTTCCTTGCTTGAAGCAAAGACAAGGTATAAACTACACAGGAGGGATAGGAGGCTTTCACTCTCTCCCCTCTGTAAAAGGACGGGTGTACCTCAGAGACTAGGAGCTGGCTTGGATCCAGCTCCATTTCCTATGTGATGCTCTCACAGAGGAGCAAAATCAACATGGATTTCAATGCACAGCAGGAAAATAACAAGTTTGTTCCCACTCTGAAAAAAAGAGGGGCAGATTTTTGCACAGAAGGCAGGCTGAGAAGCCAGGTTTTGTTTTAGAATCAAGGAAGCTGCTTCCTGTTGTTTGATCTTCCCCCTTTAGGAAAAGGGCACATGTTAAATACTGCATCAAAGACATTCTCATTGCCATCCTGACTTCCACCTGTCAACTGAAACACAACCCCAAGCAGCGGCGGATGCCTCCCATCCCAGCTGGCACCAGCATGCTCTTCATTTGATGTTCCAGCATGAACAGGCTGAGAAACTGCTCTGCTATGGAAATAAAAGGTTTGGAGTCTGTCCCCTAAGTAAGTTTGCACTCTGTCCTACAGAGCCTGCATAATGCAAAATTGTCTTTTAATATTTGAGAAAATAATTAATTT